TCCTGCTGGAGAGTTGTTGATTCCAAGAATCCAAAGCTCCAACTTCGAGGCCAAAAGCTCTGCAAGAAGGGATTTCGCTTCTGGGTCAAAGGGCATGGCCTTGCAATGAGCACAATGAATGGTACAGGCTCACTTCGACTCTTGCAAAGAAAACCAACGCCTGATTTCAGCTGGCATCAATGCGAACCAGGGTTTTGCCCAGCATGCACACAACCAATACTACAAGTTGTATACTCGTGAACTCTCGTGAAGAAGTTGGCAGATTTCGGTCACACAGTGAACGTGCATCGTGCCTCAGAAAGCTCCACAGGTAGCTCTCGCAGCAGCAAATTTGGCCAAAGTTGACCCTGTACAATCTGCCGTCGCCATGCCTTGCTGCAACACTTGCAGTTACGTAGAACTGAATATTGACAATCTTTACATTTTTGTGACACAGCCTTTGTGCGATGTGGGTATCCATGGTAATGTCAAGCCTTTCCAAAACTATGGAAACTTCGAAGTTGTTCCAAGGACAAAACCTGCCCCCTGCCCCCAAGCCAACACGCCAATTCTCTACTATGAGGGCTGGACCATGGGCACTCAACGACGTGAAGTTACCTTTTCTAGCTTTAAGTCACAACAACATAAATTGCCGTTGGCTATTTGCAGTTTTGCTTCAGTTCTGCAATGTTTCTGACATAACATGTTTAGTTGGGCACAATCACAACATTGCACAATTTGCCTGCACTGCACTGTTGGCCGGCATCAGGCATCAAATACATACATATATATATATATGTTCAGCCCACCATGATCTACCTTTCCCTGCTTTTCAGCTCTTCCACTTTTCATACCTCTCAGTTCTTCTATCTTTTCCTGCTTCTCAGCTGTTTTTCTGTACTAGGTTACCCCCTGTGTGGAATAGTTGTTGCAGTACTTCTTGACAAGATCTAGGAAGGGAGCTTAAAAAAGTGTAGACGTGATTGCAGGGCATGTTGTATTAAGCCCAAACAGGGCAAACACTATTATTGTAGTGGGTACAGTTAAATAGTTAAACAGTTCTAGTGGACTGAGATAACCCCTTTGTTCCCCAAACAGTGTGGACACACTAGAAATACTTTCTTACAGTAAGTGTTAAGCGCCGGGCTTAGATCGAGTGGGCTGCGCGGCCGTGTCCGGCTAATTCGCTGCTATTCACAGTGCAATCATGCCTCTCGATATCGTCGATGTGCACTTCGACTGCGCAGGCTCACAAAATTTGCGTGGGCGCGGCGGGTGCTTCTAGCGACTGCACTCTCGTTGTGGCGCCGTGCGCATTTTCGGACATGGTGGTCACTTTTCGTGGCAGGCTCAAGGGAAACCTCGTGCTTTTCGTGACAGGCGCAAGGGATTGGAGCGGTTTTACTTCGAAGTGCAAATTTCGTAGCAGGCACAGCACTTTGTGAACCTCGAAGCGCTGATTTCGTGACAGGCACAGCACTTTGTGAACCTCGATGCGCAGATTTCGTGCCCGGCGTGAACCTCGAAGTGCAGATTTCGTGGCAGGGGCAGCACTTTGTGAACTTCGAGGTGCAGATTTGGTGGCAGGTGGAGCACTTTGTGAACCTCGAAGCGCAGATTTTATGTTTACAGGCTAACAGCCTAAAGCGCACACCTTTTCACTTGAGCCAATCGTACGAGGTCGGAGGTATATTTACACATGAGTATACAGTGCTTACTTAGAAATTACACTCACTCACTCATTCTCTCACTCTCTCTCTCTCTCACTCACTCACTCACGCACGCACGCACGCACTCACTGACTCACTCACTCACTCTCTCACTCTCTCACTCTCTCACTCACTCACTCACTCACTCACTCTCTCACTCTCTCACACTCTCACACTCTCACACTCACCCTCACACTCTCACTCCCACTCACAGTCACGGTCACACTCACCACCACGGCCACCATCACCACAATCTCCACCTTCATCACCACCATCACCTCTCTGCACCCCAATGCGTCTAGATCTCTACTTTCTGCTGCTACACCTCTAGACCTCACACACACACTGTTTGGGGGTCTCTTGCTGGGATACTTTTTTTTGCGATAGGTTATTATATAAGAGATTAAGCAATAAAAAATGAAAAGCTTGAAATGTAATTGCTGGGATAACCCCTTTGTGAAATAGTTTTTGGTAGCTTAATTTGATAAGATATAATAAGTTAAATAACAAACAATCTGTTTCAATAATTTCAATAGAAATCAATAGGAAAGGACTTCAGTGGGTAATCAATGAAAAACAAAAGGAAATGTCAAAGAGAACTCACAAATAAAAATAAAGCAAGATGAAAAGCGTAGACGTGATTGCAGGGGACGTTATTATGAAAGCCAAAAAGGGGAAAAACACAAATAGTTATTGTAGGGGGTTGGGTTAAGTTATACTATTCAATATTTCTAGTGTACTGGGCTAACCCAAACTGATTACAGTAAATATGTTAAAAGGAAAACAAAAGGAATCAAAGGAATTTAACTGGAAATCAATTGGAATCACAAAGAATGTAAACGGAAATCATTAGAATTCAAAAGGGTTCGCGCTAAAGAATTGCTGTTCTCAAGGGCTTTAAATGACATATATATATATTTAAGCATGCTAAAAACATCATATTCTTAGTCATTTTGACAAAAAGCCAAGTAAACAAAATAACTAAAGCCAAAAAACAAAGATTGGTCAGGAAGTTTGGTGTCAGTTTTTGTTGCTTTTTTTGGTAGTAGTTGTTGGTTTGTATTTCCTTTAGACGTCTTCTTTTTATCACTATTGAATTAAGGTAAGCAAATAATACTAAACTACCAATAAGCAAGTAGTATATGGTTGCCAATCTGCGACTAAGAGCAAATAAGCAAAAACATCAAAATCTGAAACCACACTCTCCGAACAATCTTGGCTGTTTGGTTTTTCGTTTTTGAATGTTTAGAGTCATTAAAAATAGGAGGTTTTAGTACGTTTTAATATTATATATGGTATTAAAATCCTCACAAAGTCTTCAGCACCTTATTGAAAATGCATCTGTGGTCATCAGCCTCTGAGGAGCACTGATTTCTGATAAGGTCAAAACATAGCTTTATGGGCAGGCCCACAGAAAACAGCTCTAGGTAGATCATGGAGGGGTCCAAATATGTAATATTGTGTTATATAATACAATGCTATATATGGTACTAGTAAGACTCACATGTACATACTCACACATATACGTCTGTACCTGCATACAGCAAGTGTATGAAGAGTCTTTCTGAATTTTGACTGTGACATGGCTCCACTGCAAACAGCCGTGCAATGAATTATGCAACCAAGTCACAGAGCAAGTGGCCTCAAAGTACCCTAGTGCCTTGCAATTTAAGCATTGCAGCACTCCATAATCGAAGATCTCTACAACGACCTCAATGACATTAGCTGAACAAAAAATCATTTCCAGCAGGTTCAAGGATATGTCTGCTGACAAAGTGCGATGTCGGCGTTTTGTCGTTCGTTCACAAATCGTTTCTTACAGGGAGAATGGGACCCTGTGTTTCAGCTGTTGACTGGATACTTTGCAGATTTCTTCAAAATGCCCCGTGCACGTGAATAGTTTCGCAAGGGTTCAATCCGTCTGCAAATACATCTGTCTTGCAGCCTGTGGCGCCCTCATGCTTCTTTGTGTTTTTCCTTCATGAAGTAACACAAGGTAGTTTAAAACATGTTTAAAGCACTGAAGGCTCATGTTGCATGCTTCTTTTAGTTTTTCAAATAGCATTGCGCGCTTCTCAAACCAGGACACCTTATGGACTGAGCAAACAGAACAACCTATATAAACAAATCCAACAGCAAACGTAATAATGGCTGATGAATAATTGGATGGCTGGCTGGATGGATCGGATGGACAAACAAATGCATTGTCGGAGAACTTAGACTTAGCCGAAGAAGGTTACCAGGGTTGATGGATGAGCAATTGTGTTGTACATCTTTTGGCTTTCTGGTATTCGTCAAAACGAAACTGCAGAAAAGCCTCTCTGCAGCGAACGACACTACAAGACTGATACCAGCATAGAGCATAGCCGATCGGGGAACAAAAAGGCCCAGGATGGGAAATCGCCCTGAGTTGCAATTTACCCTAACTATGCTGTGTGGTAACTCTTAAGGTTCATGATGGAGCAAGTAGCAAGTCATCATTCTACAAGGTGTCAAACCGAGACCAAAATGTATCAAACTACTGTAATTCAAACTAGTTATTATGAATAGTTGTTATTTTTTAAGTTGTTCATGACACACGAAGCGAGAAACTATCATCATTGCCATAGTTGTGATTGAACAAGCGTGCCAGTTGGTAGCCTGCATAGGCAACAAGTGGCCGATACTTTAGCTCCGGCTTATCAAGGGTCTGTCTTGTCCTGAAAACCTTGCCTCACTCTCTTGTTGATGCTTCTGACTAAGGTCGATGCTGGATCACTTGGACAGAAAGGGATCTCAAATTCCATCTTTGTGCTGTTCAAGGGGCTACGTCAGTTTGTTCTGTCCCTTGTCAAGAGCTGGGCTAGCTTTTGGTGGCAACAAGAAAATTGTTGTATAGTCCTTTGTGTATCACAGCTGCTTGCAATGCCTTGCATGGGGTTTTCTAAGCTTTCTTGCTCATCTTCTGTGGCAAAAACAAAAAGTGCATGCAACACTTGGACATTGGAGATCTTCTCAATGAACCAAAAACAAGTCGGGTTGTTGCACATGCTGCTTCAGTTAAGACAGCCATGAGAGCCAAGACTGGGCAAGTTTCTCCAAGTAATGTGGGAGGGACAACATGGCAAACATGGATACACCTTGTTACTAGTAGCTTCTTGTTACTAGTAGTAATGCCCTTAGCTACTAGTAGCTTCTTGTCAGCTCAAACGGAACAATTCTCAGTCCTTTACCCTAGGCCCTGGCAATTTGTCAGGCTTTTTGTGGCCTACAACACTACGAAGCATGTGTTGAAGCCTGGTCAATCACCCCAACATTAGATTTTCGCTGAAGCCTCCAAATGGCCGCAAAGTGTCTGCAGGCGCTTTGACGGAGCCTGGACGGTGAAGCCATACTGCTGTTGCATGATTCATGAGTCATAAGGCATAATTCTCAACAATATGCAGTCTTGTCGTGGGCTTGCTGATGTAAGAGTCCAAAACAAGTGTATGTGTGGCTGGAGTTGCTCAAACATTGGCAACCGTCTCATCTGCCAATATCATCTCATTCTTGGAACGGATGGTCAAGAATGTATTCTCGACCAGATTCCAGCTGAACCCTTGCTTATTGTCGCACCCTCTGGCAGCTTTGTCTATTTAAGTTTACAAGGTCCTTTACAAAAGGAACCTTTTGGCTCTGGTCCCCGCCGCTGCCTGTCACTGGTCAAAATCTGTAGAATCGAAACTAGCTGTTTTGCAAAGAATTCTGTCTCTTTGTAGTCAAGCTCAAGCCCGTAAGTGGTAAACGTTGCGTAGCTACCTGGTGGATATAAATGGGCCTGAAGAAAAAGACATATCCATCAGCCAATAAGCCCATTTGCAGAAATCAACCTCCATGGTAAAGACATCATAACATATTCTTAAACATCCAAGCAATTCCCATGACTTCGTTTATCGTTGAATCTCGATCCGGCGTCCTTTGCCTCCCAGATTTGCCCAAGGATTGGATGGAGGAAGACCGCTAAGGCTTCAAGGCAGCGAAGTATGCTAGTGCCAAGCCTTGAGCTCGGGGCAGCGCTTCATCATCTTCAATTTGACATCAGTCATAGGCCCATGACGTGCGGAAGCCTTAGGTGTTTTAAAATATAATTACAACATATATTATACATATGCATTGTATGTATATATATACATATTTGTAGCAATTATGGCAAATTTTGCTAAAGGCCAAAACCATGTCATAACAAGTATCTTCTGAGCAAACCACCCGATGGGCTCAATTGGTGCATGCCTTGGAGAGCAAAATTGTTTTCAAATAACTGCATGGCTGCATGGATTGAAGCATGTGGAGTTTCAGGACACGGGTATCAAGGCTTAATAATACCAGTATCTCTCTCAAAGAAGCGGTGCGAAACAATACATCATGTCATCATACATTCTGTCATGTTGCTCAGGGTAATTCAGGGAACGTAGGAAACCACATTTCCTCTCTGCATCTCTCTGCAAACCACATTCGTCCACGCGATGGGTATTGACAATCATATAATATAGGTTCCGAGCGCACAAACCAGCAACCAAAGCAGCAACATGTCCTTGGATGCACCGAACACTTGGTACTTGAGCTTCTGACCGTGCTCTTGTTGTTTGTAAATTCAGCACCCGGAAGCAAAGGTCCAACGCAACATAAACTGGCGCTTAAGGCTTTTGAGTCAGAGCTGAGACGTTATAAGTCTGAACATGCTGCCCAAGCAGCCGACTGGCCATAATTTTGAAAAGCCTGACGAACTCCTCCTAGAGGTTCACAACCCAACATATCCAGTTTAAATTTCGCTCACCAGGCTTGGTCGGATTTGAAGGTAATCCGGGTCATCCGGAACACCTTCAAACATTCAGAAACAGTCCAATCCTGGCAACATGAGCACCCAATATGGGCAGGACTTGTTGAGTTGGTCCTCCAGGTGCATCCTCTCGTTCAGCAGCATCTCGCTCAGACCTTTGGAAGGTAGACTCCCAGGGGGCGTGAACTCTCAACTCACAACCAATGCAATGAAGCAGTCTTGAATGTCTTGCACCCTCCCCCACGCACCCACCCGCCCACCCAGGACCCACCCACATACTTGAGAAAGAGCTCCAAGGAACAAAAGAGCGCTCAAGGACCTGAGACCTTCAAAACTAACCCAGTGAGGAATGGAATGAAAACTGAACAGTATGGTTCAAATCAGCTAAATGTTCGTTGAAGGATTGATGCAGGTATGTTCGGATGATCAGTCCTAATGTCCCACTGTGTGACCTAGCTTCGTTGAACTGGGTCAGTCACAGAGTGCCCAGTTCCCCTGCATTAATCTGTGCAGTGAAATAGTAGTCCCTGGAGACGGGAGGTGCCACACACACAAACACACTTAGATCCATGCTCGCAAGAGCTGTATCAGTTATGACTTTCCCGTGAAGCTAGCACTTTCGGTGAATGCCTAGCGCTTGACTTGCAGAACCCCAAAGGTGATCGGTCAGCGAAAACCGAATCTTTCAACATCTTTCAACAAAACGCGTTAGCCCTTTACCGGAAAGTTGGTGCGACAGCTTGTGATCATCACAACAAGGAATGCAGGTACGTAGCTCTGGCGTCCCAGAACTATACTATATCACAGTGCAACAGATGCATCTTCGTTGGCTGGAGACATCTGAAGCACACTCCAGCCCCCTGCTGGACAGTACAAAACATATAAAGATGAAAGTTGTGGCGTCAGAGGTCTTTAGAAACAGGGTTTGACACTGTGGCTCTGCCCCGGCACACTAACAGTGACCACAAATCATACCAGAAAAAACACAACAATATAGCCACAATTTGCACCAGGATGACTTTCATTTGCCTTTTTTCGCGCTGTTTACAATGGTGGTACACGCGCACACCCCTCAAGTACATCGGAAGCCTTTTTTCCATCTGAGAGACACAAGTGAGCGTCCACTCGCAAGCATGTCGTTTTTTTTAATGGTCGTTACCGTTGAAATAAATACTCTAGTCTCTAGGACCTAGGACTCTAGGACTCTACGCTACAAAAAAGAATAAAACAACATATCTATATAAATGCTATTAAGCCGTTCCAGCTCGATGTCATCAACTTGGACCTCCTGGGTTTCTCCCAATTCTTGGTGGCACTTCACATGCTCTTGGCCGAATGATTTTACACTTGTCCACCACTTATTTCCGTGCGCCCATAGGAAAATTGTAGAATCTCAGCGCACCATCTAGGTGAACTAATGAATTTCGTGGGTCGTAGGTTAATATCATTCTGTTAAGGATCTAGGAACCTGAATTTGTGACGTCGGGTGAAAATTACCAAATCAGTTTGACGTCGTCTGTCCTTCTTTCTTTCTTTCTTTCTTTCTTTCTTTCTTTCTTTCTTTCTTTCTTTCTTTCTCTCTCTTTCTTTCTTTCTTTCTTTCTTTTTTTCTCTCTTTCTCTCTTTCTCTCTGTCTGTCTCTGTCTGTCTCTGTCTGTCTCTGTCTGTCTGTATTGTCTTGTCTGTCTTGTCTTGTCTTGTCTTGTCTTGTCCTGTCCTGTCCTGTCCTGTCCTGTCTGTCTGTCTGTCTGTCTGTCTGTCTGTCTGTCTCTCTGTCTCTCTGTCTCTCTGGTCAAGACAGAGAGAGAGACACACAGACACACACAGACAGACAGACAGACAGACAGACAGACAGAGAGACAGAGAGACCCCCAACCAGCACACGCACCCCTTTGGAGGGACGTGGCTGGCCAGGACCTGCACTGATGTGAGGAAATCCCAGTTGTTTGGCTTGGGTGGCTCCAAGCATGGCAGCAAAAACAACAAACACTGCATCCCGAAAACATCTATTTGGGGGTAGATATGTATCATTGGGGTTTGGTTTCATCAAATCAAAGCAGACCTTCAACCCTAAATCTACCTATTTCGTCGAAATAAGTCAATTTGAACCTTGGCTTGCTGAGAAGTGGTCGGACAGCAAAATTTTGTTTTGCCGAAATAGGTCCACTTTGAATCTCGGCTTTCTCGGAAGTGGTCGGTCGGACAGCAAAATCAACCTATTTCAGGTTGGCTTGCTCGGAAGTGGTCAGACAGCTAAATCAACCTATCTTCTCAAAATAGGCCCGTAGAAGGTGGGATCGACCTAATTGGTTGAACTGGTTGCATTTTCGAAGGCTTGGTGGACATCTTTTCTAGTTCTTCTTCCGTGGACTCATTTGAATCCACATGCATGTTCCGGCGCATTCTCAGGCGCCTTCTCCAAAGAAACCGCTTCACCTTGCCCACGCTCCTAGGGGCGCGGATTTGGCAAAGCGCGGAGGCCTTGATGCTTCGTCCTGACTTTGTAGACAGCACGCGTCTTCCCTGCGTCTGAGCGAGCTTTCCTTTTGCGGCGGACTAGCACCTTCTCCCGCTTGTAGAAGCCCGCGTCGCTTTTGCTTCATGGACTCGGTGTGGCTTTGTTTCCGTGAACTTCTTGGCCACTGTTGCCAGAACACAATGATCCAGGAGGGGCTGACCTAAGCAGCTCACTTGCAGGAACTGTTCCAAGACGGCAGGGGGGGCAATCTTTGCCAAGCCTCTCTTGCAGGCGCAGCACTGTGGCAAAGCCCATAAAAAGGACGCTGACGCCACAAGCTGCCGAGCAAGTGGCAAGTCGTCCCTCTCGCAAAGTCGAAACAGGTCCATTTGCGGAAGAACCGGAAAAGAAGCAAATAGATATATAGCCGGGAGATGTTGTATGTATAGGGAAAAAGGAAAGAACATTCATCTTCTGTACACATGTGGAGACCAGCTTGTTGACGAGTGGGCGTCGATTCAAGGTGTGGCTGACAGTGAACACATGAAGTCTTTCGGCGCACCCAATCCTTTGCCGAAACCTGCGCCGACAAGGTCTTGGCTCTGTTTGAAGCCAGGGCAGTTTGGGCTAATGTGCGCAGTTTGGGCTAATGTGCGCATTTTTGGTGTTGAATGTCTACACACAAGAGACATTCCAGACTGCTGCGTGGGAGATGGGGAACTACCTCAACCTGCACGCAGAATCACTGCTCAGTCAAATGAGGACTGCCTTTGCAATGCGCTCAGGAGTTCTCAAGCACCAGGCCTTCCAGTTGTGGAACAAAACGTTTTAGCTCACCATCGCAAAGCTGTGACAGTGACTCCAAAGGATTTGACCCTCCTCCAATACCTGTCCGCGAAAACTGCTTGCCCGGACGGTGTGTCTGCAGCTTGAATCGAAACTGGACCAATTTCTCGCCCCATTGTTTTCCTCCTTCCGACACAAAATCAGAGCAGACTCAAGCCCGAAACTGACCAGACAACATGGTCAGGTCAGGCGGTCAGGCGTGTCCAAGGAACCGAGGAGATGCCGCTGGAATTGAGGTCTCCTTGCGCAGGTGAGTTGCCTGCGTGTTCAGACACAGGATGTTGAAAGCCCTCTGTTTTTCCGGCTCCCCAGAAGCCAGCAACCGGGAAAATAGTCCCATGCAGCTTGAGTGGTTTTCCTTCAATAATGACATGACAAGACAGACTTGGTGTGTTCAGGTGTAGCTCGCGCATCTTCTCAGCATCAGTCCCGCCGCCTGGAAGCTCTGCTTCTCCTGACATTGCAGCTGTCAGCGCAGAGTTTTTACGGCAATAGCCGGCCAGCACAGCCGCCAGGGCAATTTGCTGCGCAACAGTCAAAGTGTCTGCAGATTCCAATGTGTTCTTGGAGGCTGGAGGCCATACAAATCTTGAGCGCAACCCCCACTGCAGCCAGCGTGAGTCGAGCTTCCCAGCTACCAGCCCTTGGAAGAGCCAGGAGATCGTTTTCCTTTGCTCAGGACTTGAATGATGACGGAGCCAATGGCATCATTATGGAGTTGGGCCGCGCGGGTGAAGCTGCTGCTTCCATGATGGGGATGGGGAGCAGGAGCGCCAGCACGAGGATATTCATCAATGTAGCCAACGCGGCAATACTGTCGAACATTTCCAAGGACAAAGTGTAGGGAGCTTCCCACACTCGAGAGTCACCAGAGGAAGGAAGGGCCATCCGAAAGGAGGTGCGGGGAAGCCCAGCGCGAGAAAAGATGACGTCCTTAAGATCATCAACCGTGTAATCTTTCTCCTCCACCGATGCCGCCGTCAAGGTCACGCAAATGTAGTTCCCCTGAGCATCCGATCTTGATTAGAATCAATATTTTGACGTCCTGAGATATTGATTTTGCTTGTATTGATTAGAATCAATATATGTTCAATCATCCGACAAAAAATATCGAAAAAATATTGATTTTCATATTGAAAAATATTGAAAATATATTGATTGGGATATTGATTTTGGATGTGCTCCTTGTACATGCAAAATGCTGCTAGTTTTGGCTCCAAATGGCAAGAAGATAGATCTATAGAAAGCTCTAGAAAACTCTTGGGAAGGACAACTCTTGGAAAAGAGAATGAGTGGGAGAGGAGGAGCCAGGCATTTCACCAAGCCTGTGGTGGATACTGATGTCCTCTACTCATGCTTGGACAAGCATCAGGCCATGGTGCCAAATATAGGCCAATGTGACCACATCAGTCGCTCACAAGGTGCGCACGGGTTCATTTGATACCTCTATGGAAAGACCTTTTGAGGCTGTGTCCCTGTGGTGAGATCCACCCAGGCAGGCCCTGCTGTCCCTCCTGTCAGAGCACCCAGATTTGAACACTGGAAAGCACAGTGGCCAGGTTTGGGTGAACCTGAAGGTGGAGCGCCTGAATTCTTTACTGGCTCATGTCAGGAAACTGGGTGGGGCCAATGCAAACATGGCCCCCATTGCTGCCAAGGTCTGCTCTGCTGGCAGCTCTGAAGTTCTTGGAAAAGAGCTCAGGACCCTTGCAAAAGGGAGATGGCGCACCCTTGCAGGATAAGCTCTTGGAAAAGGTGAAGCCCTTGGAAAAGGTGAAGGAGGACAAGCCTCTCGAAGGCATTTTGAAGAGAAAGGGCACAGCCTTGGAAAAGGCTGCGTCACAGCCCAGC